ACTGAGGGGTATTATGTTTAGTACACATGGTGTGGGGATCACGGGGAGAACAGTGTAGCACAGGGAAGGCTCATAGTGAATCTGTGGCATCTTGCTGCACTGATGGGCAGTGACTGCACTGGGGACTCAGTGGGGACTTGATAATATGGGTTAATGTAGTAACCACATTGTTTTTTCATGTGAAACCTTCATTAGAGTGTATATCAATCATACCTTAATAAAAATAAAAATAAAAATAAAGAAAAAAAGAAAAAAGACTGCCAGACTTGTCGAGTGGCTGCACTGTCTTACACCTGCCGGCAGTGAGCCAGAGGCGCTGTGTCCCCAGCCCTGTGCCAGGCCCTCTGCGGCCCCTGCCCTCCCCATGGGGGGTGGTCGTCTCACTGGCCTGAGCTTGCTCTCCCCAGTGGCTAGTAGTGTGCGGGGCCATCTTTCGTGGGCTTATTACTACCTGTCTGTCCTTTTCATGAAGTGTCTCTTCATGCATTTTGTCTGTTTGCTAATTGGATTGTTTTATAATGTTGAGTTTTGAGTTTTTTCCTAATTTAGCGTGGATGTGAGTCTTGTCAGATCTGTGGTTTCCATATTTTCTCCTGCCCTGTGTCTTGTTGACAATTTTCATCCTCCTAACAGGGTCTCCTGTGGAGAAAAAGGTTTTAATTTGATGAAGCCCAGCTTGTCCCATTTTTCTTTAATGCCTCTGCTTTTGGGGTTAAGTCAGAACCTCCCCCTAAGCCCCAGGACCTCTCTGCATCGGTTGGTATTATCAAATGACTCTTCTTTAGCCTGTGAAGGGTGGATTGCGCTGAGTTCTGGACATGGACCAGCCTTGCGTCCCTGGGATGACCTGCTGTGCTGTGGCGTGTGGGTCTTTGTGTACGCTCCTGCCTTCTGGGGCTGAGATGTCGTGGGGGGCCTTGGTGGCACTGGTGGTACTCAGTGCCTGCTCACTGGGCCCGCCGCCTTAGGGCATGTGTGCAGAGGCTCCAGGGGAGAGCAGTAAAGCGCGGCAAGATCCGGCCAGTGAGGTCTGGAGACGTGGGAGGCTTCGTTTGGCAAAGAGGAGGCTGAGAGGAAGGGCAGCAACGTGCTTGGGTGGCGCTCTCGTTTCCCCAAGCATGTGCCACCCTCTCCTCATCTGTCCTCATGCACCCTGCGGGGCGGGTGGCCGGCCCGAGGCCCACAGGCACGGGCTAACTGGAGTCCGGGAAGGGACTGGGCCCAGGATCTTTCTTAGGTTTGGCCTCCTGGAGTGAGAGGCCAGGCCTCCAGGCTGGCAGCCCTGTCTTCCCAGCCCAGTGCTTCAAGGACCTGGCTTTTCTGTTTGTCCCCTCCCTGCCCCACCCTGTGGCAGATGTGAGTGACATCAGTCGCTTCCTCGGTGTGTTCCACAAGCCGCACGTGGGGGTCATCCAGGCCGCCCGGCAGCTGCTCTCTGGCGAGCAGGCCCCGCTGCGGCAGAAGCTCCTGGCCGACCTCCTGCACACCGTCAGCGGGAACATTGAGGCTGAGACCCGGGCCGAGGACCCCCCATGGTTCGAAGGTGCCTCTGGGTCTGGGGCTGTGGGGCTGGGAGTGGGGGTTCCCTCAGGGCTGGACTTGCCGGAGCAAAAGTGGGTCTGTTTGGGTTCCCACAGCGAGGGGCTGCCCGACAGGGGGCTTGCCTGACTTTGGTGCTCAGGCAGTCCTAGGACTGGCCTCTCTATTTGCATTTATTTTGTAATTGTGGAGAAGTATATATAAAATTTACCATCTTGGCTGTTTTAAGCGTACAGTCTGTGGTGGTTAGCACATTCACGCTGTTGAGTAACTGTCATTTCCGTCCATCCACAGAACGTTTCCATCTTCCTAAAATGAACTCTGTACAGCAGGCCCCTTTCCCGCCCCTGCCCCTGGCGCCCACCATCTTCTGGCCTGGACTGCCCTCTGTGCCCCGCCTAGTGGGGTCGTCTGGGATGTGCCATGTCTGGCTCCTCTGCTCAGCATCACATCCTCAGGCCTGTGCGCCCTGCAGCAGGTGTCAGCCCCCTCCTTCCAGCCTGGCTGGTACTCCAGCATGTGGGTGCACCACCTTTCCTGGTGTGTTTTCCATCTGTGGGTACCCAGGTTGCTTCCACCTCTTGGACTAGCTTTTTAAGCCAGTGGGAGACAACCCTAAGAGGCTGCAGCCCCCTGGGAGGGGGCTCGAGGTGCCATGGGCAGAAGCCCCTTGGTGGCGCAGGAGGTGCTTCATGCTGCCGGGCCGGAGAACCCTCCTGGAGCAAACAGACCCCCGAGAGTGCGCGCACAGTGCCGTCAGTGCGTCTCTCAGACAGGCAGCCCGGCCTTCTCTGTCTGCCCACGAGGAGGACAGGCTGTGAGCCCAGTGGGCTTCTCTTCTCTTATTCCTGGCAGGTTTGGAGTCCCGGTTCAGGAGTAAGTCTAGCTACCTGAGATACAGCTGTGAGAGCCGCATCCGGAGCTACCTGAGAGAGGTCGGTCTCCAGGGAGGTGCTGCTGTTAGGAAGCTCTGGGCCCGGGTGGCTGGCGGCTGGGCACATAGAGCCGCTCATGGGCACCTGCCTGGCCAGAGTGCACCGCTTCCAGCTTCAACGCAGTCAGCCTCCCCTGACTGCTATCCACGGAGCGTATGCGCTTTGGCATCACTGTGGCCCAGGCCAGAGCAACCTTGGCCCCCTCGGTTTGGCCCGTAATTCTCCCTGTGGGTGTGGAATGGAACTGGCCTTTGAAGAGTGTCGTCTGTCAGATGGTTCAGTTCTGAGAACTTACCCAGGTGAGCATCTCAGCTTTGTCCACGTCAGCCATGGCAGATGCATGTCAGAGGCCTATCTGTTCCGAGTGCTGCGGCCCAGCACGGGCCTGGCCTCCGAGAAGGGGAAGGGCTGGCTTGGGACTCCTGACAGAATGCCTTTCAGAGGCACCCTGAGCGATGGCAGGTCTGAGCTCCAACTCTGGGCTTAGCAGACTAACCTCCCTCCTCCAGGAGGCATGGGAAGCAGGCAGACATTGGTGCTCCGTGGACACGGCTCTGTGCTTCCATGGAGAAGTCAGTCCTGGGTCCTGTGCCTCACGTGCTCTCTGTTCTGCTTGGTGTCCAGCAAAGAAGCAGACCCAGTGGGGAAGGAGCTGCTGAGGGGCCCTGCCGGCTGGGTCTTTGTTTGCATGGGGCATGTGCTTTACCAGTGGGAGGCCCCTGTGCAGCTCCCCTACAGTAGGACTGGGTCCTGGGCTCTGACCGCTGCAGAGATGCACACAGGACATGCCAGTTCCTTGGAATGCCGGGGGCCCACGCCCTAGCCCGACCGCCCTTGTGGCTGCCTGGTCCACCCCGCCTGTTCCCCTGTACTAGGTGCCCCCAGGGAGGCCTGTGGGTTTCGTCTGCAGGGGCCCTGGTGCCCGCGCTCCTGTGTTTGGAGGTTAGGCACGAGGCTGCCTTGTTCTCTGACTTTGCAGACAGTCCTTTCCACCCCTTACGCCTTGACTCTCATGCCTGGCCACATGTGCTGGACTGAATTTTAGTATTTGTGGTGGGGAGCTTCCATAGCCACGTGCTCCACCGCAGGGCCCCCCAGGCAGGTGCCAGACCTGCCGCCTGGCTGCCTCATCTGTCCCACCTCTGCCTGACCATGGCCGACCTTGCCTGCTCCGGCCTTTCTCAGGCTCCTGTTGCCACCGAGAATGCTTCTGTACCGGTTGCCCTGGCCTGTGGCTCAGCCGGTGTCCCCGCTGGCATTCTCCAGGGCGTCACTCAGGCTGCTGGATGCCAGCCCTCCATTCTGTATTAACATGTCTGCTGCTCTGTTGCTCCCTATGGCATGAGACCCTGGGGAGGGGACAGTGGTCTTCCCACTCCTGCCCTGGTGGTCAGCACAGCCCAGGTCACCCATGGTCCCAGCCTCCACTGGTGCTGAGTGGGCAGCGTGGGAGACGGGACAGGTGATGGCGGCCACATGTCTCCTACTGCCCATTTCCTGGGGTCTCTTCCCTTGTGGCAGTGGTGAGGGCCAGAGACGGGGCCACGAACCCTGGGCTTGAGTTCCTTATCTGCCTGTGACCCAGCCTCCATCTCATGGGCCCAGAGAAGCTTCCCGGGGTTGGGCAGCCATGGTCTGTGAACTCACACCCTCTGGACATGGGCTGTGCTGGGACCAGGTGGCGAGGTCTCTGAGGGCTGTGGCATGGAACGGGCTGGGAGCCCGACTGTAGTTTTAGGGTGTTGGGGGCCGGCCCTCAGCAATGTTCTTGGCCTCTTCCAGGTGAGCTCCTATGCCTCCGTGGTGGACGCGGAAGCTCAGGAGAAGTACCTGCGAGTTGTTGGCGCCATGGGCCGGAAACTCAGGGCAGTGAAGTTCAACGGCAGCTACTTTGACAGAGGGGCGCAGGTGGGCATCCGGCTCTGCACGCCCGAAGGCTGGTTCTCCTGCCAGGTGAGCTGCCTGCCGTTTGCCCTGAGCTGCCAGGTGCCTGCTGAGCTGCCTGAGGAGAGGCAGTAAGCACGCTCCGACCTTGGCCTGCCCAGGCCAGGCCGCGCAGGGGGCAGCCCTCCGTGTCAGCTCAGCGAGCGGGAGGGAGGGTCTTCCTAGCCGTGGCTCTCCAACTTGAGTGGCGCTGCAGTCCCCGAGGGCTGTAGACTGCCGGGCCCACCCAGAGCTCCAGGCTCAGGCGTCTTCTGCCAGTTCCCTGGCACGGCCACGGGAGCAGAGACCTCACTGAGGACCGTGAGGTGGGGGGACACAGTTGCACCAGGAGCAGCCATCTTGCCTTGGCACAGGAGGAGGTGATGTCCTTTGGGGGGAAAGGACATAGGAAGGGACATGGTAAGATACGCTAAGGGAAGGACAGTTCGGGAGCCTTGGAAAAGTGTCCCTGGGTGGGCTTCCTAGATGACAGCTCAGGGAGTTCTGGAGGTGACGTTCTGGGCGTTAGTCGAGCCTGATTCCCAGGGGTAGATGCGAGTCAGAGGCCGCAGGTCCTCTGCCGCCGTTTCTGGGGGCTGGCGTTGCGAGTCTGGGGGCAGGAGAGGCTGCCCAGTGCCATGCCTCATTCCCAGTGCCGCCCGGCTTTCCCTTCTGTGGTGGGTCCAGTGTGGGCCGGCCGGGTGCTGAAGGCATCTGGGGCTTTGCTGAGGGCCCGGGCCCCACTGTGCCGTGCAGGGCAATGGGGTGCCAGGCTGCAGGCTGAGTTTCCAGTGACATGCCCCCCTCCACTGGCGGCCTTCATCATGCCACTGAGTGGTTACTGAGCAGGGCCGGGGAGGGTCACCTGAATGGGCCTTGTGTGTGGGGGTGACAAATATGGAAAACTTCACCTCGACCTTGGGAGGCTGCAGGTCTAAGGCCTGTCAGCAAGTATGGGCTTGGTGCCGAGAGGCTGTGAAGGCATGTGTGGGGGTCAGCAGGAACTCTGGGGCGTGGGAGGCGGGCTAGCTGGGACCTAGGCCCCAGGGTGGCTGCTGGGAACAGGGGTGGGTTGGGGCTGTGGCACGTGACGCTGTCCCAGCAGCTGCCTGCAGACTAGTGGCCGTGAATGTGGCTCAGGGTGCCCTCCACAGAGCTGGCTAGCCTCTATTTGAGAGAACCTTCTGGCCCCTGGGATTATAGGGAAATACTGGGAAGGCACTTGGAGCTGTTTCACGGCAGCAGGCACTGCTGGCTGCGAGCCTGTGTTTGCCATGAGGGTGGTGCCGTGTGATCAGAGGGGCGTGGGGAGGCCAGGGGGCTGTGCGGGTAGAGTCATGGGAGGTGCAGAGTTGGGAGGCTGGCATTCCTAACAATGAGGGAACTGACTTGTCCCCTTTGTACAATGTTGTCCTGGGGCTCGTGAGGGGAAGGGGCCGTTGCAAGGGCAGAATCCCCACTGCCAGTCAGCAGGTGGCTGGTCAGGGATGGGCTTTCCTCCCAGGTAGGGCCCTCTCACCAGCTCCCTGGCCTGACAGGAGACCCAGGAGGGGCTCACTTGGTGGCCTGCACCTTGTCTCTTGGCCCAGGGTCCTTTCGATGTGGACGACTGTGCTTCCAGACACTCCATCAACCCCTACAGCAACAGGGAGGGACGGGTCCTCTTCAGCACGTGGAATCTGGACCACATGTGAGTGTGCCCTGCATTCATGCCAAGAATCCAGCTCGCAGAGCCGGCGAGCACCTGCCTGAACTGGCCCTGCATGGTGTCTGAGGCTTGCCAGCTGCCCGGGTTCAAGTACTGAGCTCGTGGCTGTGGACCCCGATAACGCTGGGGGTGCTGCCGGGCCATGCCACGCTCACACTCCTGACCCGAGTGACTGGGGGTTGGTCCCCGAGGTGGGCCTCGACAGCAGCTGGGCTAGATCCCCGTGTATGTCTGGACCTCCTGTGCTGGCCCAGCTGTGTAGGCATCTCCTGCCGCAACCGGGGTGAGCAAGATCCTGGCCAGCAGGGCTGTGTTATATCTGTATTGACTCATTCCAAGCAAAGGATGGAAGTGGGGACTTTTACTGTTTTCACTGAGACACTTTCCTTGAACATAAAGTATATCCTTGCTTCTGCTTTTTGGGAACAGTCCTTCAAACAGCCCTAAAATGGCTGTATTGTTTTGGAACCAGACGTTCTGAAAGTGTGTAGATGTCACCTAGAGTGGAGGCCCTGCCCCACGTCTCCTGACTCCCCCCTCCCCGTGAGCCGCTGTCGGAGGACTGACTGTACATCTGATGCCTGCTGATGTGTCTTCACTACACAGGCAGGTGTTCAGAGGCACGTAGCTGGTGTCCCGCCCGGAGCTCTGCCCTGTGCTCTCCCGGCTGTGCTGAGCTGCACGCTGTCTGTAGCTGTGGCACCTTCACTTTACCAGAGGGCTTTGCTTGAACAGACTAATTTTAACATTCATTTCCATCCTGGTGCGCCTTTGCGTCTCACCTAGTTCCCCACTACCATAGAAATCCCCAGGGTGAGCGCTCACATGGTATGACCCGATGGCCTCCTGTCCTGCTGTTAGGTGTGATTTGCAGACTGGCGGCATCTGGGGACTGGTCACAACCACAAGATTGTGAAAAAGAATGGACCAATCCAGTTAAAAAAGTGAGACAAGTGAAGTTGGCGCATGTCAGACTCTGCCAGGCAGGCAGGGCTGGCCCAGCGGTGACACCTGCCATGCTTGTGAAGGGGTGTCCCCACTGACAGCCGGCTCAGCCCCTCCCCCCATGGCCCTGTCCCTGGGGTGCCTCCCAGTGTGGTTCCCTCTGGAACCTTAAGTCCTTCACTACTCCTGGAAATGGTCCACTGCTTTATCTTTTGCAAAGATAAGTGACTGGAAACCTATGTGCTTCCCCCGTGGTTTTACAGGAAATGTGCCTCAGTAGGTGCCTGTGGGGTTAACAGCATAAGTGACCCTCTCGACCTTTCTTTGCAGGATAGAAAAGAAACGCTGCATCGTGCCCACCCTGGCAGAGGCAGTTAAGGAGCAGGGAGGGGGGGAAGTAAACTGGGAGTATTTTTACAGCCTGCTTTTCACCTCTGAGAACCTCAAGCTAGTACACATCGCCTGCCACAAGAAAACTGCCCACAGACTCAGCTGCGACCCCAGCAGGATCTACAGACCCTGCGCAAAGCGGAAGCGGTCCACCTGACCAGGCACGTGCCCACGCATGAGGCTGGCTTTCCTTGGTGCCTGGCTTCAGCAGGTGCTTTTTCTCACTCCAACAGTTCCTGCAAAAACTTTAAAAACACCCTACAAATGCTGATTTCAGCACATTTCTGAATCTGTTTTCGGGGCATCTGAGAGCCCAGCTGCCGGAGGACAAGTTGGGAGATGATGCCTGGGGGGGAGGAGCACTGTCCCGGTGCTCGGGGGTCCTCCCCTCCTGTGGTGGTGCCACTGGTGTGTGTCCTCATGGAGCATGAAGGGTGTCACGGCCGCGCTTGGCCACTCGTGCTCAAGGGTGAGCTGGCTGTGCGTCTGCCCTCCATTCCCGGGGTTCAAGGACAGTGCCCAGTGCTCCAGAGAGCGGTGACCCTCCTGAGATGAAATGGTGCACTCTGCAGGGAAAGGACAGGGATATTCGCCGTGGAATTGTTTCTTATGACAAAAAGTAGCAAGTTTTCCAAATGTCTGCCGGGAGGGGAATGGCTGATTGTAGCATCTGCTTAACTGCATGAAATCGCTGTTTTTGAGGGTCAGAAATGGTCAGGTAGCACCAATTTCACGACTCAGCCTCACTCATCTCCAATGCAGAACTGTGTAGTGACTTCCAGCGTTTACATCCAGAAATGGAGGTTGTCAAATGCACAAAGCCAGTGGCTCAGCTCTGCAGGGAATTGTTGGTTTTTTGAGAAGCCATGGGTGTATGTCACATGTGTTAGTACACAGTCCACAGGGACACACACTGTCTGGACAGCAGTAATCCTGGGGGACAGGATGGGGTGTGACTGGATGACAAAGGGCTAATTTTCTAAATCGTGTTTTATAATACTTGAAGTTTCTGAAATGAGCATTTTATAATTTTTAAATGTCCTTTTAAAAATCACTATTTGTAATGTTTGAGTTTTTACAGTATTGTGTAATAAAAAGCAATAAAGATTTTTCAAAAATTGACAAGTCAAAAAAGTTTGCACTCATTGAGGATGATGAAAACAAGGATAAAAATAAGGGGTCAATGATTTTTTAAGAATCAACCTGAATTGTTCCACTTTCTCCACTGAACATAGAACCATCTGGGAACGAGCCAGTTGTGTGGGATTTCAGGGTTCCATCTCAGCAGGTGGTGATCGGGTCTGACTGGGGAGTGCAGACTGGGGGAGCGCCAGGTGCGGGCGCCAGGGTGCCTGGTTCACTCCTCAGGTGCCCTGCTCAGGACTTCAGCCGTGCATGGAGGCTGGCGCGGAGGTGGCCAGACTGCGGCCTCCCTGACCCTTCTGGCTGTCCAACTGTGAGTTTAGGGATGGCTCTGCATCGTCCAGGGCTGAAGTGCCCCTCCTCCTGGGTGTCCTGGGGCCCCTCCCTCCCGCATGGTGGCCTGAAGAGCCCTGGGGACGACCTGCTGAGGGCCTCAACCTGCAGCGGGCAGCTCTGCTCAGTGGGCAGCCCTGCAGCTGCCGGGGGGCGGGCCTGGGCAGTCAGCCTCATGAGGAGCTAAGAAGGGTTGAGGGTGCCAGGATGGGGGGTGAGGGCAGACACCCTGGAAGTGGAGGGAGGCCCGAGGAGGCAGCTGGCCATTCACAGAGCTGGGGGACAAGATGAGATGAGGCATGTCAGCCAGAGGCCACAGGAAGGGTCTCCAGTCCCAAGTGCTCTGGGATCTCTGGAAGCAATCTAGGAAGGTGCTTAGCTGACTTCTTAAACCCCGGCCTTCCAAAGGCCTGTCCTGCTTTCCACTGCTCCTGGGGGCCTGGGGCTCAGGGTCACTGATGGTTTGACCAGATAGTTTATGTGGGAATGCCTGTCTTTGTGCACCTGTGGCCCTGGGCCCACAAACCAGTGGCCTGCAGGGTAGGGGTGCTGAAGTGCAAGTATCTAAGGTCCTCAGACAGGCCCTCAGTGCCTACCTGGCTGGCCCCTAGATAGAACCCTGGACGCTGCGGCCCCAGAGTGCCCCTGGTGGGCAGCACCTTGCACGTGTTGTCCCCATCATGCCTGGACAGGCCAGCCTGGTTCCTCTGGAACCAGGCCCCAGGTGCCTTTTCCCTCTGCTGACTGTGATCTGTGTCTTCTCCTTGTGATAAACCAGACTGTGAGCACAGGGCTTTCCTGCACTCTGTGAGTCTCCCTGCCTGGGGCTGGTCTCAAGGTCTCCGACAGACGTGCACGAGAGCAGGGGACACAGGAACGTAGGTGCAGGAGCGGTCAGGCACCCACTTCAAATGCTGGTGGGCAGCAAAGGCAAAGCGGGTCTCAGGTGGGGTGAGTTTAGGGTTTCCAGCATGTCGTACTGCCGATGGCGCCCTGAGCCGTCAGTCTAGTAAGGCCTGCTGTGTGCTTCTGCACGTGGGCCTGGAATGGGCCCCCGGGTGCACCACGAGGCTCCTGCTTGCCACTCGGGTCCATGCTCTGTGGGACACCTGGCGTTTTCCTTGGGTAGCATTTTACTCACAGGCGAGTGACCCTCGAGGGTGTAGATTTGCAGTCTCTTGCCCCCCTCAGCATCCAGGAGATTCCGTATGGAGTTTTCTGGATTTCAAAAGATCCTCCCCATCGCCGCGTGAAACGACACAGCTTGGATTTGGCGGAGCCAGCTCACGCCTGGGGAAACAGGAAGCCCTGCCGTGTCTTAAGCTGTAAGTTAGAGAGGGACACACCTGGGCACTTGGGCCTTCACAGGACTGGCTTTTAGAGCCCCAGCAGACCGGGGAGGGGCTGCTCCCGGGTGGTGCTCGTCACGAGGAGGTGGAGGGCAGGGGCATCCTGAGTACATGGTTTCCACTGCCACGTTCTGATGGGAATGTAACGCATTTCTTCCGCTGGCGTGCTGATTCGGGATGACGCTCCTCTCGGAAGCCAGCCGTTGGGAAGACAAAACCTCAAATATGTGGAAGCTGGGCCTCCACTACCCCAGGGGTGGTGGTTAGCAGTCATGGCTGCAGAACCTCAAGTGGAAAGTTATTCCCCTGGCTGCCACCAGAACACCTTTAAAGGCAACAATTCCGTGTATTAAATGCAGAGTAGCTCATCAATCAAAACACCACAGAATTATTGAGTCACGGAGGTTGCAGCTGCTAACGGGAAAATCACACCGGAATCTAAGAATGGCTGTGGGGAAAGCTACTTTCAAGTGAGGCAGTCTGGAAGCGTGAGGGAGCTGAAGAGCCTCACAGGACACCTCGGCATCTTGCCCCCAAATGATGTTATGTAAAATGTTTCCATGCTTCATAGGACGTTTTAATGGAGTTAGGTCTAGCTGCTGTTATAACTAAAGCAGGAGTGTATCCAGTCGTCCTCCTTCCCATGGGGGACACATTCCGAGACCCCTGTGGATGCCTGAGTCTGTGGAAGCACTGAGTCTTGTATATGCTGTTTTCCCACACTTGGTGAAGGGTAATTTATGAGGCAGGCCCACTGATAGGTTAGTGACTAATAAAACTGACTAACAACACACTAGGAAAAGTGATGTGCATGGGATCCCGCTCTCTCCAAATACCTTATTGTGCTGCACTCGCCCTTCCTGACAGGAGGTGATGAAGTGCTGACGTGATTCGGTGCAGTGGGGTGAGGATGAGGGCATGTGACACAGCATGAGACTGCTACTGCCCTGGGGACACTCAGGGCGAGGGTTTTCTTCCGGCTGCAGGTGACCCCGGGTAACTGAAACCATGGAAAGTAAACTGCAAAGGTGGGGTTGCTGTAGCTCAGAAACAGCAACACCATGGCTCACTCACGGGATTCCAATACCATCTCTTCCTAATCGCAGGCAGCTCCTCTGCTGTCTGTCACCCAAGGACTCAGGCTCCCTTCTGGGTGCTCCCCTCCCGGGTGCCCCCCAGCCCAGGGCCTTGGCACCCTCTGTAGGCAGCAGGGCAGAATGGGGCAGCAGAGTGAGCACACCTGCACTGCTCCCCAGCTTGTTGGTGAGGAGATGGCTCAGGGGGCCCCCAATGCAAGGGGGTGCACATCCAGCAGAGCAGCTGCCCCTGCCTAGTTCTGCACCGCCAAGGAGGGCACAGCCCTTGAGGGATGGCTAGTCTCCCCCACCGCACAGGCAAGGGACATGCTGGAGACCCTGCCATCCCAGGAGCCCCAGCCTCCTCACTGCACCCCCCCGAGCAGGCCCCTCTGGGCCTCACCCTCTCTGGCTAACAGGCACAGGGGCTGACCCTGCCTGACGAGTATGACACAGGTCAGGATGTGTTTCTCCTCTGGCTTTTAAATATTTTAGAAACGATTATGGTTTTAGGGACACAGACTTCCCTGAAAATATTTTCAAAATATATTTTATTTTTTTTCCCCATATGCATTTTGCAAAATTCTCAAGGTAAACATTAGCTCCATATACAGAAATAAAGAAGAATTCTTTAAGAACTGACACTGAATCACCACAAGAATTTTGATAATGGAAAATAAGCTTGCATATTATCAAACTACAGAGGCTGAGTGACCTTCTTTACGAAGATCTCATTTACGCCAAGCCCCCCAGCTGACTCAGTCACTATGTATGTACAGAGGAAAGCGCTGGAGGTAGTAGCAGCCCTCTGCTCTCAAGGTCTCCAGTTCTCAAGGGTGAGTGTTCCCACAGGTACCCGCTATCTGGCACTGCTGATTTCTATGGGTCAGTCCTGAAGTTTATTAAGAACCACATTCTCTGGGCGAGGAGCTTTATATAAACTACATTTGTTATTTGCCAAGTGGTTAACTGTGCTGAACATGTGGAACGATCATGCATGTACTTGTTCCCTACATTTCGGCGTCGTCATCCTCCTCGTCATCTTTGGCTCTGAAGTGCATTTTCCTGAATTCTCGCCTGCTCATTGAAGGACAGGATAAGGACGCTGGGGGAAGGTCCTGGTGGGGGAAGAGCACACCCGCCTCAGCCACACTGTGCCACGGCCAGCTGCCCTCCTCTCGCCCTGCCAGCCGTGCAGTGTCTCCCAGGACAGCCGGCCAGGGCCTGCAGAGTGAGGGGGCGGGTTCGCTGAGGGACCCTGGTGAGGGCTCATTCCCCCGGGGGGTTCGCTGAGGGACAGGCAGAGCGCTAAAAACCAGAGAAGGCCCAGTGACTGTGGGGCAGCTGTTCACAGCCCTGCGGCCAGAGCCAGGGCCCCATGTCACCCAGCCCTGCTGGCCATGGGAAGAGACACGGTTCTCAGCTGAGACAGGGTGGGGGTGCCCAAAACATGGTTTTCTCCTTCTGGGTTAAAATTATTATTGAATACTTGACTTTGTCTTGAGGTAGTACCTACAAGCAGTAGAGTGGGTGTACATGACTTGAGGTGCAGGTGCTGAGGGGCACCTATGGAGGGAAGAAGGCGCCAGCCTTACCTGCATGAGCTCCACGTTCCCAAAGAACCGACTCACTGGCACTGGCTGATTGCTGTCGTCATCCAGGAAGACGCTGCTGTCCATCTGCAGTGGGGGTGCGTGGCCCGGCTCTGTCTCCAGGGCCGACCCGTCTTGTGTGGTGGGGCTGCCGTTAGACTCTTCCCTGAGGGGGGCACCGAGTCTTGGTGGGGACGGGCCACCTTCAGTCTCTGCCGAGCAAGCGTGGCTCACAGCTCTGTGGGCATGGGGCTGGCCTGCCACTTCCGGCCCTGCAGAAACGCTGGCTTCCTTGCCTGCAAGCAGCGCACCATCCTCAGCGAAGCCCAGGGGCTCCTGTTGACACAGGGGCTTCGCTGG